GACTGGCTGAACAGACTCAGCACCATCTTTCTTTCCTTTGGCATAGGACGAAGAAGTGGATGCATTTTTTTAGGCTTGGCCGCATTTGTAGCCACCTCCAACTCTTTCATTTTCACCCTTCCCATTCCTCAACCCCCTTGTTTTATTCAGTTTTTATTTGTTTGTGTTTTCTCGTTCTGTTTCTTTAACGTACTTTTTTTTTCTTTGGGTGGGGGGGGGGTGACATTTTAACTCCCTAATTAAAGTTTAATCACCCCTAGTCACAGCCCTCACATCCCCGCTTTTAAATACTATCACCTCGTCATCTAACGCCTACGTGACTCTTCCCTTCGGATTTACCTTTCTGGATTTACACCGTGGATGCTGAACCAAAGTTGTGCTGCCCCCTTTCACTTGCCTATTTACGCTGGACGTGCTTTTATTCTTTTACATTACTGTTTACTGTGAACCATGTGTGCTCTTTTGGCTTGTACCTTTTACTTACTCTGAATTTTACTTACTTTTGTCTTGTCCTTTCACTCGTTACTTTTATTCATGCTTCACCCTTTTACTCATTTTTTTATTTGATCTTTTAGGTCAGCTTTTACTTTTTCCTCATTTTACTTTTTATTTGTTCTAGTTTAGATGTTAGTTTTACTTACTGTTTTAAGCTCTTCTGGCATACTTTCAGTTCTTCTTAAGCCTTTCTGGCATTTTTATTTTCTTGTTTTTTGCGTACTGACTTCAGTTTTACTTTGGTGCCGTCTGCTCATTATTTTGTTCATTTTAGGATTTTATATTTTATTCATCATGTATCGTCATACTGGTCACGCTCCTAGTTGGCCTGTGAGGAGGTCGTGTGGGTTCTGAGCCTTCAGGTCGGCCCCCTCACCCCCTTTTCGAGGAACGAACGGGGTCTCTCATTTTCCTTGGCCCCTAAGCCTGAAATCTCCCACCTCACGGGGACCTTACAAGTTACAGAATGATTTTGAAGACATTCATCCCACCGAAGTCACGTCAGATGACACGGGCACGTTGGAAGTCTCTATCTGGGACTACGTGAAATATATCTGAAAAATATCGCGCTCTGGCTGGCCGGTGTGCATCAAACTGCAACAAGTTGAAGGCAAACACTTTGATACAAAATGAAAAGATGTTTCAACAGGTTCCAATAACGTACGCATTAAGAGCAAACATGCATCATGTATGTTACAAAAAAGGCCACGTGTGTCGTAGAGAGAATCAAGCAACAGATTTTGCCAGTCTATAAACAACTTAAAGCCATCGGAAATGAAGGTTAAAGTCAACGTGGCTGTCGCGACAGGTCAGGGAAACAGTCGCGACCGAGGCCTAGCGACTGTTAGTGTCATAAGCTTCACTGTACATAAATAAGTATAAGACTAACGTTGCCAGGTCTACTCGATTTTTGTTGTTTTTTCTCGAAAAATTGCGTTTATTAAAGGGAAACTTTAAAACGTCCAAAAAGTTCTTTTCTTTTTTTTAAACAATTGTTCCTTATTGTTGTATTGAGCTGATATTTACATATTGATATTGATATTAACACATACAGTTGAATGAAAACAAATACAGAAAAGGGCAAATATTCAGCTCATCTACATATACTGTTATTATTTTTGTAAGATTTCAATCATTAATTCCACATCATCAGGTTATGCAGGATTAGCATCCCTTTCCTTAGATTCGCCATGGCCACACACTCTAACTGCATATCTTCTGATACTACAAAACCATTGCAGTAAGAATTGTTTAACATCAAGTCCGACGTAATCATCAAAATGTGCCTCATTTTGTTTCTTACTTTTGTGTTAGCTAATTACTCTCTCGACAAATGCATCTGATATGGGTAGATATTTCAAAGCAACACATGCCTGATGCATTCTTAAGGTATAAACACTGTTCCAAAAATCCAGCTGTTTAATGCTTTACACAAATAAATGTCCTAGACATCAAGAAATCATTAAGGTCAATCTGACCAAGCCTTGCATTTGCCCAGTCACACAGCCTGTTATTTATGTATTGTTCTTTTTTTCCAAGTCATCAAGATTTTCATCTCTTGTGCAAAATTCTGCCAGTTTCAACTTGTGAAACCGATTACACCTACTCTTGGAAAGAACATCCACGTGACAAGCTTGCATAGCAATGGCAACCTCATAGATACTTGAGGCTTTATATTTAGTACCTGCTCATAAGAAAGTTTTGATTTCGACTGTTCTTGCGAATTTTTAGCAATTCTGAAACACAGATCGGCATTTTATGGTACTAAAATACTTTTCTAAAAGTAAATTGGCATTTTTTTAAATATTACATTTATGTGAAAATATACCAATTATGGCACGTTTTGATTCCGACGGTTCCTTTAAGTTTATGGCAGCTTTGAAGTATAGATTGGCATTTTATGGCACCAAATTATTTCTGCCAATGTAGATTTGCCTTTTTTAAATATTAAGCTTATGGGAAAATACTAATTTTGGCACGTTCTGGCAACCCTGTATAAGAGTTATATTATCGAATATTACATTTCACTCTATAAGCCTAAGGATTCACAGTCTTGCCAGTAAATGAGTATAATAACAAGGGACCAGGAGGAGGGCTCTGTGTATTGTGTTATTCATTTATTAGTGATGAAAATTTATCCTATTTCTCTGCATTCATTTGTTTAATCTATGATGTAACTGTAATTAAATCATTTACTTTATCTATAATTGGTTTCTTTGTAATTACAGTAATCAGCGTATAAACAAAAAGTTGTTTAACTGAATTCCGAAACCTTCAAACCCTCTCCATCCAATGTTCCTCCTATATATATGTATACACACACACACACACACACACACACACACACACACACACACACACACACACACACACATATATATATATATATGTGTGTGTGTGTGTGTGTGTGTGTGTGTGTGTGTGTATGTGTGTGTGTGTGTGTGTGTTGTGTGTGTATGTGTGTGTATGTATATATATATATATATATATATATATATATATATATATATACATATATATATATACATATGTATATATATATATATTCATATATATATATATTCATATATATATATGCATATATATATGTGGGTATATATATATGCATATATATATATATGTGGGTATATATATATGCACTCACACACACGCACACACACGCACACACACACACACACACACACACACACACACACACACACACACACACACACACACACACACACACACACACACACACACATATACACATACACATATATATGTGTGTGTGTGTATACACATACATACATTACTTATCCCATCTATGGGATAAATAAAGATAAGAATACAGAGGACTCTTTAGCCTTGGCTAGTAACCCTTCTATAGACAGTGTCTCAATAAAAACACTGTCAGGGAAGGCAGAGTGATTTCCTATTGCTTTCACTGAGTGTTTTGTGACACTGTCTCTAGAGGGATTGCCAGCCAAGGCTAAAGAGTCCTCTGTGTTATTTTTATTTATTCCATAAATGAGGTAAATAATGTATGTATGTGTATACAGATTTGTATATGTACATATATATATATATATATATATATATATATATATATATATATATATATATATATATATATATATATATATATATATACGATAGAAAAACCCACAATATAAAAACTAGATTTATTCAAAATGGGGCTACACTTTCGAAATCCACCTGGATTCCATATTCAGGTCTGAAGAGGAAAGGGAGAGGAAGGGGTATAATAGAGAGAGAGGAGAGGCAACGTGGTAACACGGGGCAGGTGAGGACAGACAAACGAAAGCGAAGGGTTGGAGGATCAGGCAGACTATGTGCAGAGTGGTCGGCTTAAGGGAGAAGGCGGAGGGCGTGGGAAGTGAGAATATCGGCAGGAGAAAAGCCGTTGTTTAGGTTGAAATAAGGCAGTAGCTTAATTAAGGAGGACTCTACCAGTCTGCGGGCGTGGAAGGGAAGATAATACGCGCCGCTGACCAATCCATCTGATGGCCTGTGTCCCACTGATGGCCATTCTTAATTAAGGAGGACTCTACCAGTCTGCGGGCGTGGAAGGGAAGATAATGCGCGCCGCTGACCAATCCATCTGATGGCCTGTGTCCCACTGATGGCAAAACAGAGTGTTGTTGTTGTGTCCCCTGGATACAGACTACTTATGTTAAGACAGACGCTTAGTGAGACTGGCACCTGTCTCGCTAAAGTACTGCTTATTACAGGAGGCTTAAGGAACAACGTAGGTGTTCACCTTCGAAGTAGAGGAAGGGCTGGCGTGGACCAGGTTGCGACGGAGAGTGTTCACCTGGCAAAAGATCAGCCTGCAGTTGAGAAGGTGAAGAGGACGACGGAGAGAGCAGATCTCCTCAATGTAGAGCAGGCTGAGGACAGGCAGGTGAGGAGTGTCTTTGAAAGAAGAGTGGTAGAAGGTACGTCGTGCCCTGGATAACGCGACGTCGATAACATGAAGAGGGTAGCCTAGTTTCGACAACGAACGACGCAGGAAGTCAATCTCTCCATCCAGGTACTGGGGGTCATGATGCGGAGGGCGCGGAGGAACAGCAAGGTGGCAACACCTCTCTTTACATGGAGAGGATGGTATGAGAAAATGTATATGTACATACCACTATGCATAGGCTTTATGCATATGAAGAATTGGAAGTGGTCAACAAAACGTTGAAATAGGGTGACCAAGAAAGGGAGCTTGTTGTCAACATCCCATTCCTCCTTGAAACGGGTGGAAGGAGAGAGAGAGTTCAGGTGCGTCAGGAAATCCGAGAACAGGGCAGTGCCATGCATATAGTCCAATGCTCTAACCACTGGACCATTGCGGGAATAGCAGTATATATATATATATATATATATATATATATATATATATATATATATATATATATATACATACACACACATGTTTGTTCATTGATATCGTTTATGTACATTCAATAATTACATCTACATCTATAAATTTTGGGTAAATTACATTATCTATATCTGGCTTTAAATTCTTTATTGTCATTTCTCATTTGTTATACAATTCATGAAGATACTTTCGGACCAAATTGTTTGTCATGTGAGATTTGAATTGGTTTGTTCTCAGTAATTTGTGTATGCTTATGAATAAGGGTACACAGTGCTTTATTTTGCACAGTTTATTAAAAATGAAGGGAATGCTGTCCAAGTAAGTTAGGGAAATAAACCACAGCAACTCTTCAAGAAACAATAGAATAATGATTATACATCAACCTGCCTGTATCGGATCTTATAACCACCGACGTTTTTGGATCCCTGGAAGAACATCCTGACAACGTTCCCGAATGAATAATATTCAACGGCATCAACTGGTTTCTGAAGCTTAATCACATTGGTAGAATTGTACAGGGCGTCGCCGGCTAGGTTGATGGCTATGAAGCTTGGATCTCTAACGTTGAATACGGACAGGGTAATAAGGACTCGTTTCGTCGGATCTTGTGTCTGAAAGCAGCAAAATATCCCTGCTTATTCTGGTCAAGGGAAGGATATCAGAATATTCAATGAATGATATTCTATGACTTGTTAAATACAATCACTTACCACAATTCTGTATTCACATTGCTTTCCGGGTGGAGGAGGTGAGTCTGGATATCGAGGGCTCTTTATAACCGCCTGTTCACTCAGTGCAATAAGATTCTGGGGTAGAAGGTCAGGGTATCAAATATCATAAACTATATGCAATCTAAGTTTTTAGGGAGTCAAATGTTTTTCCCATGAAATAACTCAAAGGTGACAAGAGTTAAAAAAATATTTGACCTTGTAACATCCCGGGAGTTCTGATTCGAAGGTCAGCCAGAACCCTGTGCCCGTCACAGCGGAATCGGAGGTGAAGGTGGCAGTGAAGTAAAGAGTTGGAATCTTAATCAAATCTCCCGGGAGTAATCCTTCATACCTGGGTAATTCGGGAAATAAAATGATAGAAAATGGTTTGCTGTGATAGCAACACTTAGTTACATGCAAGTGAATGGAACGTTACGGAAAATTCAGAAAAGAAATTGGTAAAGCGGGCTGGTAAAGGTTACATACACCGTTGGCTCAGTGTAGGCGTTCTCTATGATCAGCTGATCCCCGTCAGCCAAATCAAACTCCTGCACCGTCATCAAAGTTCGTCCAACTGCAGTCTGTGGGAGACATGGTGGACAGATCACGATTATACAGAAGCCGGGAGCTGGAACAGCTGTCCAAAATCCAAACAAACAGTCCATTCCCTCACCTCCGAGCCAGGCCCGAGCAGGCATTGCTCGTCGTCCATGTAATTGTCTGGATGGTT